TTCCTTCTTGATGTTCCCTTCTATGCTGTCTTCCCAGAGCCCTTCCTGTCTCTACTGTAAAAACTTCCTTAAATCTCCTGTTTAGCTCCTCACATACCTCCTGATCATTTCTTGTGAGTTCTCCACCTTCTGTCCTCAGTCTGATCACCTGGTCTTTGACTGTTGTCTTCCTCCTGATGTGGCTATACAACAGTTTCGGGTCAGTCTTGATTTCGATGCTATGTTATTTTCATACTGTCGCTGGGCCTCCCTCCTTACCTGTGCATACTCGTTCCTGGCTCTGCGACTAATCTCCCTATTTTCATGTGTTCTCTGCCTTCTGTACTTTTTCCATTCTCTATTGCACTTTGTTTTTTGCCTCCTTACACCGTCGGGTAAACCAGGGGCTCGTTCTGGTCTTCCCATTATTTCTGTTGCCCTTGGGAATAAACCTTTCCACTGCCTCCTTGCATTTTGTTGTTACATATTCCATCATTTCATTTACTGGCTTTCCTGCCAGTTCTCTGTCCCACGGAACCTCCTGCAGGAAGTTCCTCAACCCTATGTAGTCCCCTCTTTTATAGTCTGGCTTTTCCCCTTCAACTCCTGTTACTCTCTCCACTTGCAACTCTACTTTGTATTCAAAGCACAGAACCACGTGGTCGCTAGCTCCTAGGGGACTCTCATATGTGATGTCCTCAATGTCTGAACTGCCCAGGGGGAACACAAGGTCCAATCTTGCTGGTTCATCCTCCCCTCTCACTCTGGTAGTGTCCTTAACATGTTGGTGCATGAGGTTTTCCAGCACCACATCCAACATCTTGGCTCTCCATGTTTCGGGACCCCCATGTGGCTCCAGGTTTTCCCAGTCAATCTCCCTGTGGTTGAAATCCCCCATAACCAGCAACTTTGCTCTGCTGGAGTGAGCTCTTCTTGACACCTCAGCAAGTGTGTCCACCATTGCTCTGTTGCTCTCTTCATATTCCTCTCTTGGCCTCCTGCAGTTCTGTGGTGGATTATACATCACTGCAATGACCACCTTGTGCTCCCCAGACTGAAGTGTACCTACTATGTAGTCCTTTTCTTCTGTCTCGTCTATGCCTCCCATTTTCTCGAATTTCCATCGGTGTGTGTGTGTGTGTGTGTACTCACTCACCTATTTGTACTCACCTATTTGTGGTTGCAGGGGTCGAGTCCTAGCTCCTGGCCCCGCCTCTGTGTGTGTGTGTGTGGTGTGTGTGTGTGTGTGTGTGTGTGTGTGTGGGGCACTCTCAAGGTCAGAGCTGAGTACACACTTGCTGCACCACCAACACTTGCACCCACGGGTTTACCTCTTCTACATAATTAAGATTATTCAGATACAGGTACACATAAATACAGTTACATAAATTATCATACATAGCAGCATATGTGTAGATTACCTACCAGGAAAACCCGGAAAATCAGACAATGTGATTTATTTACACTGTGGTCCTTGTAATATCTTATTATTTAAAGCTTAAAAGCTAAAACAGCTAATTGACTCACCTGTGTGGAAAGCAATTACAATTAAAAAAGATATACTAGTAATAAGGTAAACTAACTAATTTAAATTACAGTTACAGTAAGAGGTACATATTGCTAGCTTCTCTGATTAGGTACTGCAAGACTCCAAGCAGACACCAACCAAATCTTTAAATGGGCTGAGAAAACAATATTTAGTTCAATGATGAGAAATTTCAATTACTCTAATATGGAAAACCTGAGGAAATTAAAACTATATCGGAGTATAAAACAAATTCCAACCACATAATAGAGCGAGAAACTAATGTGAAGGACCTAGGAGTGATAATGTCAGAGGATCTCACTCTCAAAGATCACAACAATGTATCTATCGCATCTGCTAGAAAAATGATAGGATGGATAATGAGAACCTTCAAAACTAGGGACTCCAAGCCCATGATGATTCTCTTCAAATCGCTTGTTCTCTCTGTTATAGAATACTACTGTTGTCATGTAGGGGGGAATGATTAGGGGAATATGGGGGTGAGAGGAGGGAGTTAGTAGGTAGGGGACATGCAGGCGAGGTGGTAGGAGATGACAGGAGAGGTGAGCGGTAGGTAGGTAGGTAATGTGAGGTCATCAACAGCACTACAACTTCACCTCTCATTACTCTACCCACCACTCCACACTACTCACCCTCTCACTACTTTAACTAAACATAAATAAATGGAAATAAGAATAAGTAACAGGGACAGTGAATATTACTGTTCTACTCAAACACAGTTTATTATTAAGTCCTTGTACAATAATATATTTGGGAACAGGAGTACATCATTGGGGTTTAGATAAATGGGGTGGTACACATAAGCAGTGAGACAGGAAACACAATCAACTTGACGAAAATGAATATAACTTACAATATAGTACAGAGGACAGTTCACTACAGGAACTAAGCCACAGGTCCCAAGACCTACACAGCACGAGTACTGCTCCAAGCCAGTACTCTGCCCAATGTCTCCAACAGTCTCTCCTCCCGAGACTCTCCAGCTCAGCTCTGCTCCCAGGCCAGAGCTCTTCCGGAATCTCCTGTGCTCAGCTGTTCCTTGGGCTTATATCGTGGTCCAAGCACCCTCCACAACCACGTGTACGACCTGACGCCTGGATTTGACGCCGTCAAGAACAAAAGACCTCAGACGTAAGCCGGAAAGGCGTGTCTCTGACAGACATTTGCCAAGGCAAGGTGACCATATAATTGGTTAAATTAGGTCTCCCCAGACACCTCACAAGCCCAGCTGGACTACATCACACTGTACACTAACGGCCCCTTTCAAGGCAGGCGAAATTGCTGACCTGGAGAATATACAGAGAACTTTCACTGCACTTATAAGTACAATAAAACACCTAAATTACTGGGAACGATTGAAGTTCCTTAACTTGTATTCTCTGGAACGCACGCGAGAGAGATACCTGGAGTTTACCTGGAGAGAGTTCCGGGGGTCAACGCCCCCGCGGCCCGGTCTGAGACCAGGCCTCCTGGTGGATCAGAGCCTGATCAACCAGGCTGTTGCTGCTGGCTGCACGCAAACCAACATACGAGCCACAGCCCGGCTGATCCGGAACTGACTTTAGGTGCTTGTCCAGTGCCAGCTTGAAGACTGCCAGGGGTCTGTTGGTAATCCCCCTTATGTGTGCTGGGAGGCAGTTGAACAGTCTCGGGCCCCTGACACTTATTGTATGGTCTCTTAACGTGCTAGTGACACCCCTGCTTTTCATTGGGGGGATGGTGCATCGTCTGCCAAGTCTTTTGCTTTCGTAATGAGTGATTTTCGTTCACTCCATACGAAAGCAAAAAATTCGGCAGGAGATGCAACATTCCCCTAGTGAAAAGCAGGGGCGCCATGAGCACACTGAGAGGCAATACGTATCAAGACTGTTCAACTGCCTCCCAGCATACATAAGGGGGATTACCAATAGACCCCTGGCTGTCTTCAAGAGGGAGCTGGACAGGCACCTAAAGTCAGTTCCTGACCACCCGGGCTATGGTTCCTACGTCGGTTTACGTGCGGTGAGCAGTATCAGCCTGGTTGATCAGGACCTGATCCACCAAGTCTGGTCACAGACCAGGCCGCGGGAGCATTCATTATTGATGTGGAGACCAGTGTCTGTGGATAAATGTTGATGCATACTCACGTTCCTGTTGATGTGGTCTGCAGCTCACCTCACTAGCTACTTGTTGGCTGGTGAGGGTGTCAGATATTCACCTGTTTGTGGTGGTATTGGTCGAGTAACAGCTCCTGGACCCCGCCTCTCCGCTGGGGGTTACTAAATTCACTCCTGTCGACCTGGGTCGCCAGGAGTGAATTTTAATATTATTATTATTATTATTATTATTATTATTATTATTATTATTATTATTATTATTATTAACATGCAGTTTTGACCTCATGTATCTTAGACAATCAGCCTTTTGAACAGACCTCATCATTTCCTTCCGGTATTTTATACGTTGTAATCATGTCTTCTCTGGTGCGTGAGATATCTTGTACACGCCTCTTCCAGGCTATAATTTAACCTAATTATAAAGTTATGCCGCACTTTGCACTATTCCTTCCTGCTTACGGTACCTGGAGTTTACCCGGAGAGGGTTTCGGGGGTCGGTAGAAGAGGCTGGGGTTGCAAAATGGTGACTATGTGAGGTTAAATAAGAGTGATCCCGTTAAGGATGCTTACACCATATTACTGTTACTCCCCGTTGTCCTTCAACAGTAGAGATGGTTTCCTGTTGGACAGGTGACCTTTGGTGAGCGGGGTGACCTTTCCCACTTGCTGGGTCCACTTTTGTTTTAGGTTAGTTAGCAATGCTAACTAACCTAACTAACTCTAACAAAGTAGACAGAGGAAGGTTGGTAGCGCACTTGCCTCACAGTGAGGTCCATTGTTCGATCCCCGGTACGGGTGGAAACACTGTGGGCATGTTTCATTACAACACCTGCGGTCCCTGTAACTAACACCCAGGTACCTACTTACTGCTAGGTGAACATTTCCGAGGGAATTGTCTCTGAATATATTAATTTTATAGCATACCAGGACGCAATGGCGCACACGATGACGCAAGGTGTGACGCAATCTGGCATATAATGACGCAAGGTGTGACGCAATCTGGCATATAATGACGCAAGGTCTAGCAGAGTTTACCTTGAGTTTGGTCTACGTCTGCTGGTGGTATAATAATAATCATAAAAGGTGTTGAAACCTATGTGTAAGGGACCTTTGGCATCCTTGTAGAGTTTAAGGTACCTTTGGTATCCTTGTAGTAGGGGATTCCCGTTGCTTGGGATCCCGTGACGTCAGCAGAGGCCACAGCGGGTGTTTATCTGTCAGTGTCTTTATTAATTTCCCTTGTAGAGGTTTAAGAAGGATATGAAGCACTTTGGTATCTTCATTGGGGGTTTCCACCTTGAAAAGCCCTCCTGGTGTGACAGGTAACGGTGATTCACCTTTAGAAGCCTCCCTGGTGTCACAGAAAGCGGGGATTCATCTCCACAAGCCTCCCTGGTGCGACAGAAGTCGGGGATTCACCTTTAGAAGCCTCCCTGGTGTGACAGGAGTCGAGGATTTACCTTCAGAAGCCTCCCTGGTGTGACAGGAGTCGGGAATTCATCTTTAGAAGCCTCCCTGGTGTGACAGGTAAAGGGAATTCACCTTCAGAAGCCTCCCTGGTGTGACAGGAGTCAGGGATTCACCTTTAGAAGTCTCCCTGGTGTAACGGGAGTCGGGAATTCACCTTTAGAAGTTAGTTTAATATCTTTATTATGCACCCCATCCTGTGGGCGGTAGTCAAAAGATTACAAAGGTACATAATGGGTCCAGGGACTGGACCCCAAAGTTATGATAGCTTAACTAGTTACAAAGGTAACGAACTCCAGGTAGATCTGGTCACAATCATGGCAAGTTACAAAGGTAATGAATCAGCCTCACTCCTATACATGGTTACAGTCATGAACAAATTACAAAGTAATGAGCCAATGATACGTCCACACCTGGTCACAATTGTAATGAGTTATAAATACAAATATTAAGTGGGTCATACACCCAGGTAAACACGAGCGCGCGCGCACACACATACACACACGAGGGCGCACGCACAGACAGCCTCCCTGGTGTGACAGGTAACGGGGATTCACCTTTAGAAGCCTCCCTGGTGTGACAGAAGTCGGGGATTCACCTTCAGAAGCCTCCCTGGTGAGGCAGGAGTCAGGGATCACCTGAGCATCTAGGAAACAGTCTAACCTCCACCCCCCACATAAAACCTTTCTGTTTACAGAAAGTTGCAAAAATTTCCCAGAACTGGCAGATGATGACGCCAGACATAGCCAGGAGCCTTTTATGTACTCAAGCACATTCTTTGCTTGTTATGCAGTACCAGTGTAAGGACCTGGTTCATCCTAGGACACTGGGGTACATGTACATGTGTGGTACATGTATGTACGTTTTGATATGGGAATTGTGGTTGTACACACGTCTGGCTTCTCAGAAGTGGGTTAGTCATATGATGACTGTTTTCAGTGGGGCGTGTGTTTTTTTCCCTTAGACACCCCCCCCCACACACACACACGCACATACACACACACATACAAGAGGTATGATAAAGCTCATGGAGCAGGAAGAGAGTGGATCCAGTAGCGACCAGTGAAGAGGGGAGCCAGGTACTGTGAATCGACCCCTGCAGCCACAAATAGGTGAGCACACACACACACACACACACACACACACAGGCAGGAACCATACATAGCTTTAAGACGAGGTATGACATGGCTCAGGAAGCAGAGAGAGAGAGAGGACCGAGTAGCGATCAGTGAAGAGGCGGGGCCAGGAGCTGAGTCGCGACCCCTGCAACCACAATTAGGTGAACACACACACACACACACACACACACACACACACACACACACACACACACACACACACACACACACACACACACACACACACACACACCCACAGTCTCTCACTACCCTCCACAGCATCAGCATCTCCAGTGATCACTCTCCCGTGTGTTTCGCCTATACCACAACAGCATTCGTGTGTTGGCACAGTAGGCCTTATTTTACCTATAACAAAGCCTCTCGTACTTTAATAGGCCTATTTAAGACATTAAAATACTGAAAAAATTGACCTAAATTAAATTAAATGTGAATTTTGTGGTGACTATCAGAATTTTGGTAAGATTTCTTTCTCGTGTATATTGTGTAGAAAAAAAGTGAAATACAGTTTTGTTATGGTGTGAATTTAAGGATTTATTCATACAACACTGATATACATTGTTGTATACTAATGTATGAGACGATGAGGTATTGTATTGTAATATATTCTAATACTTAAGACACATGCTGTCCCTGATCCCCTGGCAGTAAGTAGGTACCTGGGTGTTAGTCACCTTACACCTGCTGTCCCTGTTCACCTGGCAGTAAGTAGGTACCTGGGTGTTAGTCACCTTACACCTGCTGTCCCTGTTCACCTGGCAGTAAGTAGGTACCTGGGTGTTAGTCACCTTACACCTGCTGTCCCTGTTCACCTGGCAGTAAGTAGGTACCTGGGTGTTAGTCACCTTACACCTGCTGTCCCTGTTCACCTGGCAGTAAGTAGGTAACTGGGTGTTAGTCACCTTACACCTGCTATCCCTGTTCACCTGGCAGTAAGTAGGTACCTGGGTGTTAGTCACCTTACACCTACTGTCACTGTTCACCTGGCAGTAAGTAGGTAACTGGGTGTTAGTCACCTTACACCTGCTGTCCCTGTTCACCTGGCAGTAAGTAGGTACCTGGGTGTTAGTCACCTTACACCTGCTGTCACTGTTCACCTGGCAGTAAGTAGGTACCTGGGTGTTAGTCACCTTACACCTACTGCCACTGTTCACCTAGCAGGAAGTAGGTGTTTGAGTGTCAGCAATAGTCATGACTACCTGGCTTATTGCATTACCCTGGCTTATCCCTGCGAGGTTAATAGTTCAGAATAAAGCCAGACAAGCTTATGGGTCACATGATGCGTGGTCATGTGACCAGACAAGGTCATGGGTCACATGATGCGTGGTCATGTGACCAGACAAGGTCATGGGTCACATGATGCGTGGTCATGTGACCAGACAAGGTCTTGGGTCACATGGTGTGTGGTCATGTAACCAGACAAGGTCTTGGGTCACATGGTGTGTGATAATGGGTCACATCATGTGACCCATAGCAAGGTCAAGGTTCACGGTGTGTGGTCAAGTCCCATAACAATCTTACAATTATTATCATAATTATATTCTTGGGGAAGCGCTAAATTCCTATGGGTCACTCAGCGTCTGGAGAATGAGAGGTAATCAGGCTCGACCAGAGGAAGGAGAGAGAACAACTCCAGTTCCTCGGATCGTGAGCCCCTGGGGGTACAGCAATTACTGTGGACACAGCTGTATTCTGCTCGCAGAGTTCAGCAGGATACAGAGTCTGCTGGTGACGCTACCAGTGTTGTCTGCTTGGCAAATGGTAATCTGCGGCTCAAAACTGAAGAATCGGGGTTCGATTCCGGGACGGGTGGATCAGGACCTGATTAACCAGGCAGTAACTGCCTGGTTAATCAGGTCCTGATCCACCGGGAGGCCTGGTCACGGACTTGGCCACGGGGGCGTCGACCTCCGGAATACTCTCCAGGTATACTCCAGGTACATAAGTACATAAGAATGGAGGAACACTGCAGAAGGCCTACAGGCCCATGCAAGGCAGGTCCTTATCAAAACGACCTCTACCTAAAGCTACCCCAAAAAATAACTCCCGTACCCAATGACAGCAATTGGTATCAAGTGGTGAATCTACAGTAGTCGAAATGTCAGTCTGGCAGGATGTTTATGTAGACACAGGTATACATAGGTACAATTTTTATAGGGGCTTCTTTTCCATGTCTGTCTGCAGGGAGGTACAAGGTCAGGTCCAGTAACTTCACCTGGGTCGTCATGGCCTACAGGGAGGTACAAGGTCAGGTCATGTAACGTCACCTGGGTCGTCATGGCCTACAGGGAGGTACAAGGTCAGGTCATGTAACGTCACCCAGCTCATTGCAACCTACAGAAATAAATAACTCATTATGATTTGAACCAAACATGTGCGTGCATTACCACTTGTTCGACTATCAAAACTTTGTGGTCCAGTCCCTGGAACCATTATGTGCCTCTGTAATGTTGAAGTACAGTCTCTGGACTCATTATGTGCCTCTGTAATGTTGAGATACAGTCTCTGGACTCATTATATGCCTTTGTAATGTTGAGGTACAGTCCCTGGATCAATTATGTGCCTCTGTAAAGAGGAGATAAAGTCCCTGGATCTTTTTTGTGCCTCTGTAATGAGGAGATACAGTCCCTGGACCCAATGTACCTCTGTTATGTTTTGACTACCGCTCACAGGATAATTATGGGGTACATAACAAAGTTATTAAACAAACTAGGGAGGAGCACAGACTAAGCTTACACCACACAGCAACATTGATCAGGATGCCTACACTGCCCTTGGCAGCAGAACCAAGACGGGGCAGAGAAACATAAAAAGAAACCTGTACCCCAAGGACAGCTCTGTTGTCCCAAGTCTACTTCCCTGAGGTGACAGACCATAGTCCAGAAGGAGGACACGAGTGTCCTCATGATGAGGCATCATGCCCCGACAGTTCCATTGTTTGATGGAATACATTAAGGTGAAGGATGGTCAGCATGATATTTTCCTTGTGACGTCTATACAATGGACGCTACCACGGGAATTTAGTACAGTAGTTTTATAATGCAGCCTATACCCATGGTGTGGGCTTTAGTTTAACATCGTAATTATGCACCCCATATCTATCCTGTGGGTGGTAGTCAAAAGATTACAGAGGTACATAATATGTCCAGGGACTGGATCATAGTTTTGATAGCGGAACAAATTACCGTGGTAATTCTCTATTTGCATGCTTTTTTTTGGTCACAATCGTAATGGATTAATAGTCAAAAGATAACAGAGGCACACAGTGGATACAGGACGGTACCTCAACATTACAGAGGCACATAATGGGTCCACGAACTGGGCCACAAAGCCTTGATAGCTACCAGCAAAGGTCGTAGATGTAGCCTTGAAGGTGTTAGTCTCCCAAATTCAAATTCAAATTCAAAGTTTATTCTCTATAAGGATTACAATGCTGAGTTTACAGAAATTTGGTTATTGTGTGGTTTACATGTAGTAAAATAATGATTACAGAGTGTACCACTAGAACGATTGGAGGTGGTCAGGTCCTCCTGAGAGCTGTCTCTCAATAAATAACAAAAAGGCACAATACCGTGACTGGAACGATACACAAATAACCCGCACATAAAAGACAGAAGCTTACGACGACGTTTCGGTCCGACTTGGACCATTGACAAAGTCACACTAACAGAGGAGGAGCAGGACGGCTATATATAGGCAGGAAGAGGTGGAGGTAGTAGTAGTGGTAGTAGTAGTAGTAGTAGTAGTACAAGAATTGTATATAATACCGACAGGATGAAATGACACACGCACAACACCCGGGCATCCCCACCGTAGACGTTTCGCCATCCAGCCAGCCACTGGATGGCGAAACGTTCACAACAAAGACAACCAGACGCCGTTCTCCCGTCTTGGCTACCCTTCCCATTTCATAGACTCTGCCCTCTCACGTGCTAAACGCAATTTCTTCTCTCCCAAACTCTCTACTCATGGGAACTCTTCTATCCTCTGCCTTCCCTACATTTCCGGTCTTTCTAATCTCAACAATTCTCTCCGTCCCTTAGACATCAAGCTTACCTTCCGCCAGACTAACACTCTTCGCACTAATCTCGTTCATACCTCTCCTCCCTCTACAGATGTTCCTGGTGTCTACTCTATTTCTTGCTCCTCCTGTCCTCTTCAGTACTTTGGAGAAACTGGTCGATCTCTTTCTGACAGACTTAGGGAGCACAAAAATAGTGTTAGGCTTGCCGACACTAACAATGCTCTTTTCTGTCACGTCAGAGATCATAGCCATCCTATTGACTGGTCTTCTGCTAAAACTGTCTTCCCTACTTCCAACTCGAACAGTCGCCGTTTAGTTGAATCCTCTCTTATACACAACTTTCCTTGTATGAACCTTAGCCCTGGCTTCGTCTCTGTAGATGCCTTCCTCTCCCACTACATTGTAAAATGCTCCAAACTTCAGAACACCCGTGACTTAACCTGAATCCTCATTTTTTCTTCTTCTTCTTCTTTTTCTTCTTCCTCTTCCCCTTTCCTCTCTCCTTTTCTCCTCTGGGTTGTCTTTCTCTCTCCTGTCTCGTGTTTCTGTTCCTTCTTTATTTTATTTCACCACTTCCCCTTTCACGCACCTCGGTGCGCTTGCTCTCCCTCTGTGGGTTTCTAGCTCTCTTGCAGTGCTCCCCTTCCTTTGTATTTGACTGGCTCGTCTTCCTTATTTCCCACTTCTACCACTACCACTACTACTACCTCTTCTTCTTCTACTACATCCACTGATGAAATTAGACACATGTGCGGCGTCTGGTTGTCTTTGTTGTGGACGTTTCGCCATCCAGTGGCTGGCTGGATGGCGAAACGTCTACGGTGGGGATGCCCGGGTGTTGTGCGTGTGTCATTTCATCCTGTCGGTATTATATACAATTCTTGTACTACTACTACTACTACTACTACTACTATACCACTACTACTACCTCCACCTCTTCCTGCCTATATATAGCCGTCCTGCTCCTCCTCTGTTAGTGTGACTTTGTCAATGGTCCAAGTCGGACCGAAACGTCGTCGTAAGCTTCTGTCTTTTATGTGCGGGTTATTTGTGTATAGCTGTCTCTCTGGTCTTAAAGAATGAAGCTTCTTACAGCTCTGGGGCCCAGACCACTTCCTCTGGGAGGGTACACCTGTGTTTTGAGGTAGAGGGGACTGGGGTTATGCAACACTGGAGCTCTAAATGATTTTATCCTCCTTTAGACCAATCTAAATATGTAAAAATTTTGTATTTATGGAGCAACGATAAATTCGTAAGGGTCATATAGTACCTGGGGAATGGAAGGCAATGAGGTCTGATGCGAGGAAGGCGTTGAGTAACTTCGATTCTTGGGATCAAGACCCCATCACCAGTATTAAATGGAAAGAGGGAGGGGCTTCTCATACCTTGGGTAAGGATTAGTAAGCAAGTTGAATCGTCAGTTGCATCAGTAGTGACAGATATTGCTTATCCTCAGACACGACTTGCAACATCCACTTAGTAACACCACCACCTGTGCTATCACCATCTGTGCTAGGAGCACCAGTCACAACCACCACCTCCACAGACCTACCCTTCTTGAAACACAATGCGGGAGGCCCAGGTGTCTACCGCCACGCCAGGAGGTCTATGGATTGCATCTGCTATTAAGAGGTTAGTAAATACGGAGGTTTCAGTGACTGTTACTGTAACCATTTAAACTCTTGTACCTCTTACAGAAAAAACTGAATCTTTAATACTGTCGTATACAGGTACCAGAACAAGGAATGAAGGTTTTTAAACCAGTTCTAATCCTGTGTATGTGTGTGTGTGTGTGTTAGTTATGAATTGTTCCAGCCAGGGTATTGTGGGTTAATTGTGAATTGTTCCAGCCAGGGTATTGTTAGTTAGTTCTGATTTGTTCCAGCCAGGGTCTTGTGACTTTTGCCCTTCACATGCCCGCGTATGTTGTTACATGCTATAAGTCATGTATTATCTAGGCCTCTGTACGAATTATCAATGAGAGATTAATATTAATATTCCAGTTGGGACTTAATTGACGTCATCTCTGTAATGAATAACAATCTGGCATTGCTAGGAAATCTACTACTAATTGTTCTTAGCTTCTGAAGAATATTTTGTGAAGGTTACTAGCAGAGAGATCATCTAGAATCTAGAAAACTGAACTGTACGACCCTTAATCACTTCACAAGTGATTAACACCCATTTCCTAGTTAGTCTCAGTTAGCTGGACCAAGAGCTGAGGTAGGATAACAGCTCTTAGGTTGTAAATACTGAGGTAGGATAACAGTCTTAGCTTGTAAATACTAAGGTAGGATGACAGTCTTAGCTTGTAAATACTAATGTAGGATAACAGCTAAGAGCTGTTATCCTACCTCAGGATGGTTGGTAGTCACCACATACCCATCATATGGACGGTAGGCGAAATTATTTACAAAGACCTGGTCTGGGACCAAACCATAGAAGGGAAGGGTAAGGCTGACCCTCCAACAGCATCCTTCAGATACCCTTAACGAGGCACGTAATAGGTTTATCTTGTCCCTCCTTCAGGTATCCTTAATTGTGTAATCTTGTTCCTCCTTCAGGTGGTGTGTGAGTTGGGGCAGCTATCTCCTGGACCATGGGCGCAGATCCTGGAACGGTGTGGGCACCATGCCCACGTCAACGCAGTTCTCCCATGTCAGGTTAGATATATTTAGCAATATTACCTTACCCGTAGAGGACATGCCTGGGTGTTGAGTCGGCTCTAGTGAAGCCGGTTATGTGTGTGTTGAGTCGGCTATAGTGAAGCCGGTCATGTGTGTGAGGAATCGGACTCTAGTGAAGCGGTCATGTGAATGATGAGCCGGCTCTAGTGAAGCCAAGCCATGTGAATGGTGACTCGGCTCTGGTGAAGCCGGTCATGTGAATAGTGAGTCGGCTCTAGTGAAGCCAGTCATGTTAATGGTGAGTCGGCTCTGGTGAAGCCGGTCATGTGGTCAATGACTCAGCTCTGTTGTTGTTGGTTTATAGACCCGGTCATGTGCTTAGCTTCTCGTATTTATCAAGTAAATTTATTCAGGTACAGGAACAAATAAATGCAGTTACATAATTTATCATACGTAGCAGTATATGCGTACATTACCCACCAGGATAACCCCAAAAAAGTCAAAGCGACTTACTTCCATTATGGTCCTTGTAATTTTTTTTAAGTAAGTTTATTTGGGCACAAGTACACAAAAGTACAACTATCATACATAGTGTAAATTTACTGAGGTTATAACAAAATATCTCAGACAGCGTGACTAATTACAATGGCTTAATGCAATTATTCACAAATACGACAGTTTTAATTGCTAATTACCCATCCAAGTGCATTTCAATGTGCATAATGTACTAATTTATATGTATAAGTTAATCTCTATTAAATTAGCTGAAGTAAGTAAAGTAAGTAAAGTAGTAAATTATTCAGGTAAACCAAAATACAGTTACTTTAGGATTATCATACGTATTATTAGAACTTTCATAAAATGGACACAACGGCCTTGGACGTGCCTTCGGGCGCATTGAGATGTGGGTAACATGAGTGAGATTTGACGGCCTGACAATCGTTCAATGTACGCAGCCATATGACCATCAGGTTCACGTTTTTTAGGGACTTTAATGTTGTGTCACATATTTGGCTGGAACAACGAAGGTCACAGGTACGTGGTGGGAATGAAGTACTGGTGCTGTGGTTTACTGGCAAACACTCTGCTCACACGGCGGTCGGTTCGATTCCCAGCTAGGTAAAATCATTGGGTTGGTTTCTTTACTAATACTTGTCCAATGTCCATCGAAAATGGTACCGGGTGATAGTCGATGGTTGTGGATCGCAACTGGACAAAACTGATCTAATTGCCGTTGGTGGCTGGTGGCTGTGGCAAACGCTCTCGCTTCACACGGCGAGGTCCGGGTTCGATTCTCACACAGGGTAAAACATTGGTGTGTTTCTTTCACCTTTGTCTATGTTCACCATCAGTAAAATGGGTACCTGGGTGTTAGTGACTGGTGTGGGTCGCATCCGGGAACACTGACCTAATTTGCCGAATGAGGCATAACAAGGGAGTTTCTGATAGATAAGATTCGTTCGGTTTTTAACCCGGGAGGGTTGCCACCAGGATACCAGAAAGTCAGTGCGTACGGACTGTCTTACACTTATTTCATTGGGTCCTTAATCTTGTCCCCCAGAATGCGACCCACTACCAGTCGACTAATCCCCAGGTACCTTTGCTGCTGGGTGACAGGAAACAGTGTAGGAAACGTGTTCGAAATGTTTCCACCCGCCGGGATCGAACCGGCCTCCGTGTGTGATGCGGGGCTTAGCCCCAGGCACGGGCCTATAGTAGTATGTCATTGTTGTCAGCTAGGACTGTATACCTTGTACATGTACTTGTAGTAAATAAAGATATTATTATATTATTATTGAATGCTCAGCATAACAAGCGGCTTTCTTAATAATAAAGGCCACAGTACCGTGGCTGGTACAATGAAGGTCACAGTACCGTGGCTGGTACAATGAAGGTCACAGTACCGTGGCTGGTACATGAAGGTCACAGTACCGTGGCTGGTACAATGAAGGTCACAGTACCGTGGCTGGTACAATGAAGGTCACAGTACCGTGGCTGGTACAATGAAGGTCACAGTACCGTGGCTGGTACAATGAAGGTCACAGTACCGTGGCTGGTACAATGAAGGTCACAGTACCGTGGCTGGTACAATGAAGGTCACAGTACCGTGGCTGGTACAATGAAGGTCACAGTACCGTACTGGTAAATAGACGGTCAGTACCAGGCTGTACAATGAAGGTCACAGACCGTGTGACATGGTCAATAAGACACAGTACCTGTGGAATGAAGGTCACAGTACCGTGGCTGTACAATGAAGGTCACAGTACGTGGCTGTAAATGAAGGACACAAGTACCGTGTGTACCAATGAAGGCAAGTACCGTGCTTACAATGAAGGTCACAGTACCGTGGCTGGTCATTGAGGTACAGTACCGTGCTGGTACAATGAAGGTCACAGTACCATAGTGGTACAATGAAGGTCACAGACCGTGGCTGGTAAATAAGGTCACAGTACCTGGCTGACAAGAAGCAGTACCGGGCTGTAAATGAAGGTCACAGTACCGGCTGTACAATGAAGGAATACCTCTGGTACAATGAAAGGCCACAGTACGTGCTGTACAATGAAGGTCAAGTAGTGGCTTGACATTGAAGGTCACAGTACCGTGGCTGTACAAAAGAAGGTCACAGACCGTGTGGTAATGAAGGTCACAGTAAGTGGCGGAACAATGAAGGTCACTTACGTGCTGTAAATGAAGGTCACAGTACCGTGACTGTACAAGAAGGTCACAACCGTCTGGTAAATTAAGGCAAACCGTGGCTTGGTACAATGAGGTCACAGTACGTGGTGGTACAAAGGTCACAGTACCGTGCTGAATTGAAGTACAGTACCAGCTGTAAATGAATGGTCACAGTAACGTGTGGTAAATGAAGGTCACAGTACCGGCTGCTACAATGAAGGTACAGTACGTGCTGGTTCATTAAGGTCACAGTACGTGTGGTAAATGAAGGTCACATACCGTGGCTGTACATGAAGTCACTTACCATGGTGTACAATGAAGTCAAATGTACTGGGTGGACAATGAAGTCACAGACCGTACTTACAAATGAAGGTCACAGTAAGTGCTGGTAATGAAGGTCAAGTACAGTAGGACAATTGAAGGTCACAACAGACCGTGCTGACAAAGAGGTCACAGTACGGTACCAATATGACCTGACCCCCCAATTAAACCAATAATAACTTTAAGCTCGAAAGACGTTAATTAGGCTCAAATAAGACCAAACGATTGAATATTAAAGGGCCTCAATTAAGACAAACCTTGAATAAAGGCTCAAATAAGACCAAACCATTGAATAAAGGGCTCAAATAAGACCAACCATTTAATTAAGGGGCTCAAATGTAGACACAAATACATTGTATAAAGGGCTCAATAGGACCAAACTATTTTAAAATATAAGGGCTCAAATAAGACCAAACCATTGAATAAAGGGCTCAAATAAGACCAAACCAATGAATAAAGGGCTCAAATAAGATCAAACTATTGAATAAAGGGCTCAAATAAGACCAAACCACCCCCAAAAAACTTAAATAAGAGTAAATCATTGGGTAAAACTCTCATATAAGGAAACCATCCCCCCAAAAAAGGGGTGAAATAAGACAAAAACCACCCCAAAAGCCTCTTAAATAAGAGCAAACCACTCCAACAGACCTAAATAAAACCAAACTACCCCAAAAACCCTTAAATAAGACCAAACAACCCCAGAAACCTTAAATAAGAGTAAATCTTTGCATAAAACCCTCAAATAAGACAAAACCGTTAAGTAAAAGCCTCAAATAAGAGCCAACCCCCCATAAACCTTAAATAAGAGCAAACCACCTCAAAAACCCCTTAAATAAGACGAAACCATTGCTTTAACCCTCCAATATGAACAAACCACCCCATAAACCCCTGAAATAAGAATAAATCATTGTATTAAAGGGTCAAATAAGAGCAAACCACCCCACAAACCCCTGAAATAAGAGTAAATCATTGTATTAAGGGGTGAAATAAGACCAAACCACCCAAAAAAACTTAAATAAGAGCAAATCATTGTATTAAGGGGTGAAATAAGACCAAACCACCCCAACAAACCCCTGAAATAAGAGTAAATCAGTGTAATAAGGTGTGAAATAAGAGGTTGAGAGGTGTCAACAACAGCCTCCCTGACCAGGTTCTTACAGCTGGTCGATCTGCCTGGCCTCTCACCTTATTTCACCAATAATAAGCTTTTTAGGCCGGAAATGACAGCTTATTTCGCCAAATAAGGTATAGGAAGGTGTAATGCGTATTTGTGCGGGCGGGTTTTTTTCTTTGCTGGGTTTAAAGGCTAAATTAATGGTTAAATGTTAAGATGTATTGAAGTGTACATGTGCACATGGTGGTGTACATGTGCACAAGGTGATGTACATGTGTACGTGGTGGTGTATATGTGAACATGGTGATGTACATGTGTACGTGGTGTACATGTGCACATGGTGATGTACATGTGTACGTGGAATTAGTGTGTGTACATGGATGTGTACATAGTTGATCTATGTATACATGGAGTTGATGTATATGTGTACATGTAGGTGTACATAGAGTTGGTGTATATATGTACATGGAGGTGTATGTGTACATGGAGGTGTATGTGTACATGGAGGTGTATGTGTACATTGAGGTGTATGTGTACATGGAGGTGTATATGTGTACGTGGAGGTGTATATGTGTACATGGAGGTGTATGTGTACATGAAGGTGTATATGTGTACATGGAGGTGTATATGTGTTCAAGGAGGTGTATGTGTACATGGAGGTGTATGTGTACATGGAGGTGTATATGTGTACATGGAGGTGTATATGAGTACATGGAGGTGTATATGTACATGAAAGTGTATATGTGTACATGGAGGTGTATGTGTACATGGAGGTGTATATGTGTACATGGAGGTGTATATGTGTACATGGAGGTGTATATGTGTACATGGAGGTGTATGTGTACATGAAGGTGTATATGTGTACATGGAGGTGTATATGTGTACATGGAGGTGTATGTGTACATGAAGGTGTATATGTGTACATGGAGGTGTATGTGTACATGGAGGTGTATGTGTACATGAAGGTGTGTATGTGTACATGGAGGTGTATGTGTACATGGGGGTGGTGTATGTATATGGAGATGGTATACATGTCTGCATAAGTGGTGTACATGTGCACACAGGTGGTGCACATGTATATGAAGGTGATGTACATGTATTTGTGGAAGTGGTGTACATGTGCATAGGAAGGTGGTGTACATGTATACAGGGAGGCCAAGAAGTGTACATGTACACAGGTAGGCTGAGAAGCATACATGTACACAGGGAGGCCGAGAAACGTACATGTACACAGGGAGGCCGAGAAGGCTACATAGGAAGACTGAGAAGCATACATGTACACAGGGAGACTGAGAAGCGTACATGTACACAGGGAGGCCGAGAAGCGTACATAGGGAGACTGAGAAGCGTACATGTACACAGGGAGACTGAGAAGCGTACATGTACACAGGTAGGCTGAGAAGCGTACATGTACACAGGGAGGCGAAGCGTAATGACACAGGGATAGAAGCGTACATGTACACAGGGAGACTGAGAAGCGTACATGTACACAGAGGCGAGAAGCGTACTGGAGCCGAGAAGCGTACATAGGGAGACTGAGAAGCGCACATGTACACAGGGAGACTGAGAAGCGTACATGTACACAGGGAGGCCGAGAAGCATACATAGGGAGACTGAGAAGCGTACATGTACACAGGGAGACTGAGAAGCGTACATGTACACAGGTAGGCTGAGAAGCGTACATGTACACAGGGAGACCGAGAAGCATACATAGGGAGACTGAGAAGCGTACATGTACACAGGGAGATCGAGAAGCGTACATAGGGAGACTGAGAAGCGTACATGTACACAGGGAGACTGAGAAGTGTACATGTACACAGGGAGGCCGAGGAGTGTACATGTACACAGGGAGACCGAGAAGCGTACATGTACACAGGGAGACTGAGAAGCATACATGTACACAGGGAAGCCGAGAAGTGTACATGCACACAGGGAGGCTGAGAAGTGTACATGTAGAGACCGAGAAAGCGTACATGTACACAGGGAGGCAGAGAAGTGTACGTGTACACAGGGAGGCTGAGAAGTGTACATATTCACCCTATGTACACTTTAACATCTTGTTCATTTTATTTTTTCCAGGCACTGTCCGAGAGTCATGGATAACTCTGGCTGCGTCTGTGGTCGAGGAACGGCAATTGTTGGTTCTCTAAGTGCAGACATGGGCGTTAATACATCCTGGTTGAATGAGAATGGAATGCCAGCACCACCGTCGCTATCTACCAGTCTCTTAACCAAAAACAAACCTTTCCCAGTCCGAGGTGTGTTAATACTGCCTCAGGTATATGAAGTATTAGACACGTGTAACATCTGGGTATCTTCATTTGTGAACATTTTGCCACTCAGTGGCTTTATCAATACAAATTCAAGGACATAATGGGAAGACTGTAGAACTATATACATTCTGTAGGTATATACAGTGGTGGCTCGTCCATTGGAGCTGCAGAGCTGCAGTCCCTCCAGATACTCACTGCCAGAAATATGACTTCATCAACCTTACGCTATAATAATTTGCAACTGACAAGTATATTACAGGAAAAATCTGTTGTTTATTATTTTCAATGTATTTATAAGCAAATTTTTAAATTTTTATGTTGAAACAAGATAAAAAATGATTAAAAATGATTAAAAGAAGTGTGATGCGGTACAATAGTATAGGTATTACTGGTGTTACGAGCCACCACTGGGTATATATATTCTGCATATATATACCTGCAGTGAAAAATATTATATTCTTTATCCTAATTAATGGTTGGAATAAGCTTTGATTATTATTATTATTATTATTATTATTATTATTATTATTATTATTATTATTATTATTATTATTATTATTTTCATTATACAGTCTCTCCTCACTTAACTACAGAGTTATGTTTCTAAGACCACGTCGGCAAATGAATTTGTCGCTAAATGAGGAGCATACTATAATGGTAGTGGGTTTGTGTCAACCATCTTTGATATTGTTTTAATGTCACCTTTGCACCATTTATAACATTTTTAGTATATACAGTAGTGTACTGTATATTGTAATAAACAGAATAGAGGAAATTGGTTGTAATACACATTATTTAGGTATGCATACTGGTCAGAGAGCCCAGTCCGAGTCGTCGGTAAACGAGTACATCGCTAAGTGAGTAGAGGCTGTATTTATTATTGAGGAACCACAACGGGTGAGGTTATTACGATTTCATGAGTCATTATTGACATATTTGTTAAGGCGACAAGTAGTTTAGGGATCTAGTTAGAATTTAACTAATTGTTTGGGCAAACTTAACCGAACCAGCTCCAGCACACCTCTTGCTCTTGATCCAATAAACTACAGCTAACGTACATTTGGACAAAACCTGATGGCCTTCCATGACCCAGGAACTGTATGACCACTATGCTCCTAATGCATCCTCATAATAATAATAAAAATAATAATAATAATAATAATAATAATAATGAAAAAATAATAGTAGTTTATATCCTGCTTTACTGTTATAATTTTGCAGTTATTTTCTAGGGGATTTAGGGTATACTTGTATTATAAGTGGCAAACATCATAAATTTTTTTCCCCTATGTGTACATTATTTGTGTATTGTGGTAAAAGGCACTTACGTACAGTTCAGGACATTTATTATAGGAAATATACAAATAACCCGCACATAGAAGAGAGGAGCTTACGACGACGTTTTGGTCCGATTTGGACCATTTACAAAGTCACACTAACGAGAAGTAGAGCAGGAAGGGGTATATATAGGCAGGAAGAGGTAGTGTTGGTGGTGGTAGTAGTAGTAGTAGTAGAAGTAGGAGTAGTAGTAGTAGTAATAGTAGTAGTAGTAATAGTAGTAGTAATAGTAGTAGTAATAGTAGTAGTAATAGTAGTAGTAGTAGTAGTGGTAGTAGTAGTGGTAGTGGTAGTAGTAGTAGTAGTAGTAGCAGCAGTGGTAGTGGTAGTAGTAGTAGTGGGGAAAAAGGAGGAGCCAGTCAAATACAAAGAAAGGGGAGCACTGCAAGGGAGCTAGGTGCCCACAGAGGAAGAGCAAGAACACAGAGGTGGGGAAGAAGGGGAAGTGATGAAATAAATAATGAAGGAACAGAAACACGAGACAGAAGAAAGACAACCCAGAGGAGAAAAAGGGAAAGGGGAAGAGGGAGAAGAAGAAAAAAGGAGGAATCAAGTTAAGTCATGGGTGTTCTGAAGTTTGGAGCATTTTACAATGTAGTGAGAGAGAGGAAGGCATCTACAGAGACAAAGCCAGGACTAAGATTCATACAAAGAAGGGGCAAGATTATTAAGAGCTTCAAGAAAAGGTTGGAAGAGACTGGAGTTATGAGGCCACAGAGCAAAGATGTCATCCACATAGCAGAGCCAGAGTGAAGGGCGCGGTATTGTGACTTTTTTTTTTTTGTTATTATAGGAAATGTTTTGCCACTTGTGGGAAAATGTGTCCTCTAATAAATGTCCTGAACTGTACATAAGTGTCTTTTTCCACATCTTGTTGGTATCACCAGACCATTTTCCAGGTTATCTGTGTGTTGTTCCAGTCATGTTATTGGGCCTTTTTATTCTTGTTGGATGTAGTTCTTCCTTGATCATTAGGCAAAATAACTTGCAGATTTACTAATACACTTATTAACTAGAAGACAACAAATTTAAAGCAAATTGTAGACTAAGCATTTTAAGTCCACTTGTCTTAAACAATTCCAACAGTAGTTTTCTTATTACACATATTGAATATTTTTGCTTACTTGAAATTTTAACATCATATTATTCTGAAATATATGGCAAATTTAGGAAGTATCTTGGTAAATTGGAGTGTGTGGAAGCCAGCTATGGGACACAAAAGGGCTCTAGAGGGAAGTATTATTGGCCTTTAGTATTACTGGATGATATGTTATACAGTACCAGGTGATGTATTGGTGGTGTATTTCAGCTCCACATAGTGCAGTAATGTAGTGGTATGTTAAATATAGAAAACAAAGTTACGTTTAGCCAGCTTATCAGCATGATCTATGAGACGTAATGGTGGAGTTTATACTGCGGTGAAAATGATGGCCCTGTTGCCATGTCCTATTAATTTTATCCCATAATCTTTCACTTTAAAAGATCAGAGATTATACATAAAATACAGAAGATTTGATGACAAGAGAATTGTATTATTGGTAATTATAGTACTCTGCATTTTTTAATCAAGATTTATCATTTGGTGTGTGGTGTGGTTAATAAGAGAGTTATCTACAGCCAGTAGAGTAATAACCTTTGGCCGTGAGCATTCAAGGATGTTGATGTATACTTAAGATTGTCTTATCTCATGTGTGCTCTGAGGGAAGATTGTCCCAGCTCTTAAGAACGGTGTTGCCTGAGGCAGTAAGTAGTTGTACCAGGATATTTGATAGGGGCAGTTAGTAGTAGTACCAGGATATGTAAAACTGATCTTTCTTCTTTTTTGTTCTATCTTGTGTCTGAATGAGAAAGGTTCAACACCTTTTTTTTTTTATCATATTTTAAAAGGCTTGGTGAAGAAGTGTACTGTAACTAAAAATATTTAACTTTTAAAGTGCCATTTTATTTATAATGATTCGACATAGAAGATTTAGTTACCCTGAGAGTGATGGTAAGTTGACTAAACATATTGAAGTAACATACAGTATTAATGAAATTTGATTTTCTGTTTTATTTTGTTTAATTTTGATTGTTATTACTGTATATAACTTGGAATGTGTTTTTGTATTTTTAAGGTAGTGATTTTTATGGTTAAATTTAAGTTATTCCTAAATAACCCACACATTGGAGAATGACACTTATGATGGCGTTTCAGTCCGACTTGGACCATTAACTAATGTGACTAGTTAATGGTCCAAGTTAGATTGAAATGTTATTGTAAGTCCTATGTGCAGATTATTTATGTATTGTTCCACTCATGGTATTGTGCCTTTTCAGTCTTTTTAAATTTATGTCTGCACTTGTTCATAATTTTTTGCAAATATATCATCATTCAAATTTTTCTGCACAATTCAGGAGAACGCGCTAACTATGTCAACATCCCCCACGTTATTGTTATGGTTGGTCTACCAGCACGAGGGAAGACATATATGGCAAAGAAGCTTACACGATACCTAAACTGGATTGGCATTAAGACGAAAGGTGAGAATAAGCTCTGTTTGCCTTGAAATGAGACTTTAATTATATTGTAAGAATTACTGACAAAATGTTAGGTAAATGAACACGGATGCAACTAATGTGACTTTTTATGGCAATGTTTCACTCTCCAGGAGCTTTGTCAAGTCACAATACAGAACAGGCCACATGGGGATGGAAAACTTTGGCTCTGTTTCTTCTGAATTCTCATTTGTCATCAAAAGCTATGCAATGTTGCAAGACAGCAACAGATAGGAGGGGAAATTCCCTGAGAGCCTGAAGAGCCAAACATTGCCACAATAAAATGTCATATCAGTTGCATCTGTGTCCATTTACCCAATAAATTACACAGTGTTTAAGGGGGGCCGGGACTCAGCTGCTGACCAGGTCTTTGTCTCTTGCTGTTGAGTTAACCCTTTCAGGGTCCAAGGCCCAAATCTGGAGTCACGCACCAGTGTCCAAGAATTTTCAAAAAAAAAATTTGTTATTTTTTCTTATGAAATCGTAGAGAATCTTTTTGTGAAGGTAATAAAACAAAAAGTACGAAATTTGGTGGAAAATTGACGAAATTATGCTCTCGCGAATTTTGATGTGTCAGCGATATTTACGAATCGGCGATTTTGCCGACTTTGACTCCCATTTTGGGCCAATTACATTATTCCAGTCAACCAAATTCTTAGCTATTTCACTAGTATTACTTCTATTCTATCGATTGAGCACAAGAAATCGCCAAGTCAACTGTTTCAACTACAAAATAAAGTGATCGGAAATTGTTAATTTGGCCATTTTAACACAAAGTTCAAAATATTCCAATTTCAAAATAGGGTCCAGAATGAACAATGTAAGCATTCCTGGCACTAAACTAACATTTCCTCTGTTCATTAGTTATGTTTTGAGGCTTTACAAATAAATTCCATTTTGATTTTTTATTCACAATGAATTTTTATTCACACCAAAAAATAGAAGATTTACTGTTATGCAATACTGTAATAATTGTATAAATATCATCACCATATTTGTGAATGTATATTAGACTCACCAGCTGATGTGTATTAGACGTGTGAGGACGTTTGTTTACTCTTGAATATCGGCAAAAATTTAACATTTCTGCTACTTTGAGCTCAGTTTCAAGCCATTTCCAGTGCTAAAACCAATCAAAATCATCTCTATTTCTGTAATATGTCTTCCATTCTATCAAATGAGACCAAGAAATCGGAAATACAACTATAAAAAACATACGAAAAAACACTGCAAAGTTGCTGTTTTAATCGAAAAATCATGATTTCATTTTTTTCTCTCATTATACACAGTGTGCTGTAGGATCTGTTTTATGTGGTGCACACATACCACATAGATGTATTCTCTCATATTTAGGCCCAAATGTACCACTCACAGTTTATCAGAGTGAGCTGAGCTCATGGCGTAGATCTACGGTTTGGACCCTGAACATAAAGCCGTAGATCTACGGGACGGACCCTGAAAGGGTTAATAATATGGTAGACAGTGAGAAGCATACTTTAATTAATTGTTTTTGACATTTTTTAACAGTTATTTATTTTTTATTATCACACTGGCCGATTCCCACCAAGGCAGGGTGGCCCGAAAAAGAAAAACTTTCACCATCATTCACTCCATCACTGTCTTGCCAGAAGGGTGCTTTACACTACAGTTTTTAAACTGCAACATTAACACCCCTCCTTCAGATTGGCATAATTTTCACCTTTTGTAGAAATGTACGTTTGTAAGTTTTATTTAGCCCTAGAAGTGGATATAAGTTTTATTTGTTGTGAATTAAGTGTGATACAGTATTTTACACCCATGTCTTTACCTCTGTTTTCCTTTCATATGTCTATGTCTTAGTTGCCTACATCTGTGGCTTGTGGTGTACCATGGTGGTAGCACTTGCTGCCTTCTCTGTTTGATCTATTACATTGTTCTATCACTTTTTTTAAAAAAAGCTTTCTAGTATCTTCATCTTGTGCATTACAAGAGTTTTTTGATTCATTATACTCTTGTTCTTGTTTCGTTATACTCTTGTTATTGTTTTGTTATACTCTTGTTCTTGTTTCTTTATACTCTTGTTCTTGTTTTGTTATACTCTTGTTCTTGTTTCATTATACTCTTGTTCTTGTTTTGTTATACTCTTGTTCTTGTTTCGTTATACTCTTGTTCTTGTTTCGTTATACTCTTGTTCTTGTTTCGTTATACTCTTGTTCTTGTTTCGTTATACTCTTGTTCTTGTTTCGTTATACTCTTGTTCTTGTTTTGTTATACTCTTGTTCTTGTTTCATTATACTCTTGTTCTTGTTTCGTTATACTCTTGTTCTTGTTTCGTTATACTCTATCACCAATCATTGCAACACTCTTTAACAAATCCATTGAATCCTCCACCTTCCCTACAGTACTCAAAATAGCAAGGGTCACCCCGATCCACAAAGGAGGAGACCAAACAGAGTTGAATAACTATAGGCCAATATCCAACTTACACCCTCTCTCAAAAATCTTCGAAAAATTAATTCATAAACGAATCTACTCCTTCCTTATCTCCCAAAACATACTCAACCCCTGCCAATTTGGATTCAGGCCTAATAAAAATACTAATGATGCTATTATACACATGCTAGAACATATATACACTGCAATAGAGAAAAAAGAAGTCCCACTGGGGATCTTCATTGACTTAAGTAAAGCTTTTGATACAGTTAACCATGACTTGCTCCACGTAAAATTGTCACACTATGGTATAAGAGGGCACTCCCTCAACTACCTCAAGTCATACCTCAGCAACAGAAGCCAATATGTGTATGCAAATGGGCAAACTCTTCTGCACAACCAATTACAGTTGGTGTCCCACAGGGAAGTGTCCTTGGCCCTCTTCTCTTTCTCCTATACATAAATGACCTACCAAATGCTTCGCAATTACTCAAACCCACACTATTTGCAGATGACACTACATACGTCTTCTCCCACCCGAGCCCAGTCACGCTAGCCAATACTGTAAATACCGAATTACAGAAAATATCTACCTGGATGAGGACTAACAAACTTACACTAAACATTGACAAAACCTACTTCATTCAGTTTGGTAACAGAGCTACAGATGTCCCTCTTAACATAATGATAAACGGATCACCTATCACAAAGCTAACAAAGGGAAAATTCTTAGGAATCCACCTTGATAATAGACTCAAATTTCAAACACATTACAACAAATTTCTAAGAAAATTTCCAAGACTGTAGGCATACTATCGAAGATACGGTACTATGCTCCACAGTCAGCCCTCCTGGCCCTATATCACTCTCTTATTTACCCCTATCTCACCTATGGAATTTGTGCATGGGGCTCAACAACAAGTAACCATCTCAGACCACTAATTACCCAACAAAAGGCTGCAGTTAGAATGATAACAAATTCTCACTATAGGCAGCACACTCCACCAATATTCAATACACTAAACCTACTCACCATACAAAACATCCATACTTATTACTGCACCTATTACATACATAGAACACTTAACTCTGATATTAACCCTCCCCTCAAACATCTCCTTGCCAACCTCAACAGAACACATGACCATAACACAAGGCACAGATCACTCTTTGATGTTCCTCGTGTCCATCTCACACTATGCAAAAACTCAATGCACATAAAAGGCCCTAAAATCTGGAATTCATTACCTGTAAATATAAAAGAAACACTACCTGTTTATAAATTCAAGTCTCTTCTCAAAGATCACTTACTCACCCAAAACCAAATAAATACTGAATAACTGAACCTTATAAATTGTATATCTTAAATGTTTCTCACAATTATATCACATAAATGTTAAACCTAAAACCCAATCTAACTTTATTATTTTTTAAATACACTACCTAACAGAATACTCCATTCTACTGAATGTACAACAATGCATACAACCATATGACCTGTCTTTGTAATACTCACTTGTGCTTTATAGTAATCTGTTTACATTAAAGTTTTATCACTGATTTCATCATTGCTTAGTTAATCTTAAGTTAATTTTAAGCCAGCCTGTAATGCTATGCATAGTATAAGTGGCTTTGGCATGCTGCTCTTATCTGTATTTTTTGTACCACTGTATGTGTGCTCAAATTTTTAAATAAATAAATAAATACTCTTGTTCTTGTTTCGTTATACTCTTGTTCTTGTTTCGTTATACTCTTGTTCTTGTTTCGTTATACTCTTGTTCTTGTTTCGTTATACAGTGGACCCCCGCATAACGATCACCTCCGAATGCGACCAATTATGTAAGTGTATTTATGTAAGTGCGTTTGTACGTGTATGTTTGGGGGTCTGAAATGGACTAATCTACTTCACAATATTCCTTATGGGAACAAATTCGATCAGTACTGGCACCTGAACATACTTCTGGAGTGAAAAAATATCGTTAACCGGGGGTCCACTGTACTCTTGTTCTTGTTTCGTTATACTCTTGTTCTTGTTTCGTTATACTCTTGTTCTTGTTTCGTTATACTCTTGTTCTTGTTTCGTTATACTCTTGTTCTTGTTTCGTTATACTCTTGTTCTTGTTTCGTTATACTCTTGTTCTTGTTTCATTATACTCTTGTTCTTGTTTCATTATACTCTTGTTCTTGTTTCATTATACTCTTGTTCTTGTTTCATTATACTCTTGTTCTTGTTTCATTATACTCTTGTTCTTGTTTCATTATACTCTTGTTCTTGTTTCATTATACTCTTGTTCTTGTTTCATTATACTCTTGTTCTTGTTTCATTATACTCTTGTTCTTGTTTCATTATACTCTTGTTCTTGTTTCATTATACTCTTGTTCTTGTTTCATTATACTCTTGTTCTTGTTTCATTATACTCTTGTTCTTGTTTCATTATACTCTTGTTCTTGTTTCGTTATACTCTTGTTCTTGTTTCGTTATACTCTTGTTCTTGTTTTGTTATACTCTTGTTCTTGTTTCATTATACTCTTGTTCTTGTTTCATTATACTCTTGTTCTTGTTTCGTTATACTCTTGTTCTTGTTTCATTATACTCTTGTTCTTGTTTCGTTATACTCTTGTTCTTGTTTTGTTATACTCTTGTTCTTGTTCCATTGTTTATGTTGCCTTTCTTACTGGCCTGGCATGAGTATCATGCTCATGCCAGGTCTCTAGGAAGAACTATTAATTTAATAATATCTTGTATGTGTGGAGCTATTGTTTTCACTTTTGCTCAGTGATTTTTGTCTCTCAGATAAAGTACTGTTACAAACTGGCTCATATATTTTACATGGATATTGCATTTTTTTTTTTACAAGTTTTTTGTTACAGTTGTGACAGTTTTGTTAATAGGTTGCATATTTTTCTTTTATTTACTCTTTTTATCATTTCAGTTTTTAACTTGGGTGAGTACAGGCGACGTGCCACCCAGCAATACAAGAATCATAACTTCTTCCGAAGTGACAACGAAGAAGCAATGGCACTACGGCAACGCTGTGCGATGGATGCCTTGGAGGATGTTTGTAATTGGCTTGACAATGAAGGAGGAGAAGTAGCGGTGAGTGATGGTTGTTTGGTACATTAGGTATGTTTTGTGTTCTCTTCTGTAATTGAAACATTTGCCATTTCTCTTTAAGGAGAAATGAGAGGCCTTCATACTGGTGCAGAGCTATTGACTAATGGAATTGGGACACTCCTACCCTTTCGTAAATTAAACCTGGTACCTAAAGTCAGTACCTGACCAGCCAGGTTGTGGCTCATTTGTCAGTTTATGTGTGACCAACAGTAACAGCCTGGTTGCTCAGGTCCTTATACACCACAAGGCCTGGTTGCAGACCTGGCCTTGTTGTGGATACCACTTCCAGGTATACTCCCATTTTCCATACACTATATGACCTATGTGCAACACTTTGGTATCTTTATTTCATTCAAATACAGAGGTGACTGGTATATTGAAAACAGTTGAAGACGAGGCTGGGATATTCACTCCCTCAGCCTTGATAGGTGTTCAGTCTATAGAGTTACAGATTAGAAAGCCTTCAAATTTGGTTGTATGTATGTATGCCCTGCCTCTTTGCTGGGCTCCACTAGGTCTACTCTCTCCTGGCTTTAAGAGCCTTATTGTACCTCTTCTTAAATCTATGTATGGATCCTGCCTCTACCATTTCACTCTCTAGATTATTCCATGTCCTGGCTCGTCTAAGTTTTCAGCTTCCAGGTGTGACCTCGTGATCCTGTTTCCCATCTCTCAAACATTCTGTCCCTATTAACCTTGTCAGTTCCTCTCAGTATTTTGTACATTGTTATCATATACCCCCAGTCCTCCTGTCCTCCGGTATCATTAGGTTCAATTCCCTTAACCTTTCCTCATAGGACATACCCCTTAGCTCTGGGACTAGTCCTGTTGCAAACCTCACATTTTCTCCAATTTCTTGATATTCTTGACCAGGTGTATATTCTATACAGGTGCTTCATATTCCAGTATGGGCCTTAGGTACATGATGTACAGTGTCGTGACTGACTCCTTGCTTAGATATCAAAAATCTGTTCTTAAATTTGCCAGAGGTGCATTTGCTGCAGCAGTTATTTGGTTGATGTGCATCTCAGGTTATATGCTTGATATGATACTCACACCAAGGTATTTCTCCTTGAGTGATGTTTGCAGCCCTTTCTTCTTGAACCTGTACTCCATCTACGGTAGTAAGATGGCTGCTAGGTGGATGACTGGTCATATGGTAATGATGATAATACTGTGCATGATAAGACTGATAAGTGAATGATAGTACCATCCAAAGGTGCAAGTGGTCAAAGACTAAAGTCTGAGAAGTGGAGAACAAGCTGATAAGTAAATATGAAGAGTTGTAGTCTCATGAACATATAAGATGACAAATAAATCTTTCAGACTTTTAATTACATTTATTATACACAGTTTTTCTTTCCTGTGTGTTGCTTAATTTTTCTTACTCCTGTAATATGTCCTTTCCAGTTTAAAAGGCCTCATTTGAGACCAGGTTGTGGGGGCAGTGATCCCCACAACCATTAAGAGATATACAGTAAACCATTGATATAGCGAACTATGTTAAGCAATAGCTATAAAATGACTAAAGTATTATACTGTATGCCTAATATAGTACTGTACACACCAGTTATAGATCTTCCTTTTTTTTAACGTACCAGCCGTATCCCACTGAGGCGGGGTGGCCCAAATGAAAAAACTCAAGTTTCTCCTTTTAAATTTAGTCATATATACGGGAGAAGGGGTTACTAGCCCCTTGCTCCCGGCATTTTAGTCGCCTCTTATGACATGCATAGGTTACGGAGGAAGAATTCTGTTCCACTTCCCCATGGAGTGAGTGAGTGAGTGTGTGTGTGTGTGTGTACTCACCTAGTTGTACTCACCTAGTTGAGGTTGCAGGGGTCGAGTCCAAGCTCCTGGCCCCGCCTCTTCACTGGTCGCTACTAGGTCACTCTCCCTGAACCATGAGCTTTATCGTACCTCTGCTTAAAGCTATGTATGGATCCTGCCTCCACTACATCGCTTCCCAAACTATTCCACTTCCTGACTACTCTGTGGCTGAAGAAATACTTCCTAACATCCCTTTGATTCATCTGTGTCTTCAGCTTCCAACTGTGTCCCCATGTTGCTGTGTCCAGTCTCTGGAACATCCTGTCTTTGTCCACCTTGTCAATTCCTCTCAGTATTTTGTAAGTCGTTATCATGTCCCCCCTATCTCTCCTGTCCTCCAGTGTCGTCAGATTGATTTCCCTTAACCTCTCCTCATAGGACATACCTCTTAACTCTGGGACTAGTCTTGTTGCAAACCTTTGCACTTTCTCTAGTTTCTTTACATGCTTGGCTAGGTGTGGGTTCCAAACTGGTGCCACATACTCCAATATGGGCCTAATGTACACGGTGTACAGGGTCCTGAACGATTCCTTATTAAGATGTCGGAATGCTGTTCTGAGGTTTGCTAGGCGCCCATATGCTGCAGCCGTTATTTGGTTGATGTGCGCTTCAGGAGATGTGCCTGGTGTTATACTCACCCCAAGATCTTTTTCCTTGAGTGAGGTTTGAAGTCTCTGGCCCCCCTAGACTGTACTCCGCCTGCGGTCTTCTTTGCCCTTCCCCAATCTTCATGACTTTGCACTTGGTGGGATTGAACTCCAGGAGCCAATTGCTGGACCAGGTCTGCAGCCTGTCCAGATCCCTTTGTAGTTCTGCCTGGTCTTCGATCGAGTGAATTCTTCTCATCAACTTCACGTCATCTGCAAACAGGGACACCTCAGAGTCTATTCCTTCCGTCATGTCGTTCACAAATACCAGAAACAGCACTGGTCCTAGGACTGACCCCTGTGGGACCCCGCTGGTCACAGGTGCCCACTCTGACACCTCGCCACGCACCATGACTCGCTGCTGTCTTCCTGACAAGTATTCCCTGATCCATTGTAGTGCCTTCCCTGTTATCCCTGCTTGGTCCTCCAGTTTTTGCACTAATCTCTTGTGTGGAACTGTGTCAAATGCCTTCTTGCAGTCCAAGAATATGTGTGTGTGTGTGTGTGCTGTATTTATTTATTTATTTATTTATTTATTTATTTATTTATTTATTTTAACAAACCGGCCGTATCCCACCAAGGCAGGGTGGCCCAAAAAGAAAAACAAAAGTTTCTCTTTTTAATTTAAGTAATGTATACAGGAGAAGGGGTTACTAGCCCCTTGCTCTTGGCAATTTAGTCACCTGTTACGACACACATGGCTTATGGAAGAAGAATTCTGTTCCGCTTTCCTATGGAGTAGAGTATATATACTTTAATTAAACTTTTGTTTCCAGGTGTTTGATGCCACAAATACAACGATGTTACGCCGCCGACTCATATATGATAAGGTTGTGATGGAGATGGACTATAAACTGTTTTATGTGGAATCTATCTGCGATGATGAATCAATCATTGAATCTAACATTCGGGTAAGCTTTACTTATTTGACTTGTATAAAGGCTTGTATCTAACAAAGCTTTTTTAAAGAATGTCTTACTGATTACAACCCACATATAATGAAGTTTTTTAAGCACTAGAAGATTGCCTTTGCCTAATACTGTATTTAATATATGCACTGCCATTGTGCATAATAGGTATTAACAAGACTGATTTAGGATTAATATAGTTTACTATGGAAAGAATATGTTGTATGTCCCATATTGGAGCAGCACTTTAGTTTACTTTGGAAAGAATATGCTGTATGGCTCATACTGATTCAGCACTTTAGTTTACTATGGAAAAATTACATTACAGTGGACCCCCAAGTTTCGTGATTAATCCGTTCCAGAGAGCCTGCTGAAAGTCGAAATTCACGAAACTCGAAACCATTTTCCCCATAAGAAATAATGGAAATAAAATTAATCCGTTCCAGACACCCAAAAATATTAAAATAAATTTTTTTTTTTCAAATTAAATAAAGATTTATATACTGAAATCAGTGAGAAATCAAGTACATGCATATAAAAAAATAATAATAACATTACACTTACCTTTACTGAAGACTTCTGGGTGGATGGAAAATGGGAGGAGGGGATAGGAGGAAGGTGTACACTATTGTTTGGAAGGAGAATCTCCTTCCATTAGGACTTTAGGTAGCAAGTCCTTATCTGGGGTTACTTCCCTTCTTCTTTTAATGCCACTGGGAACAACTTGAGAGCCATTGGACCCCTGTTGCACAAAATATCTGTCCACAGAGGTCTTTTTCTGGCATTTCTTTAAGATTTTCCTGAAGTGGGACACAACACTGTCATTGTACATGTTGCAGATATGGCTTGTTTCAGCTTGGTCAGGGTGATACTTTTCAACAAAACTTTGCAACTCATTCCACTTGGCACAAATCTCCTTAATCTTTGAAGAAGGCACCTCATCCACTCCCTCTTCCTCCTCCTCTGAAGCAAGTTCCTCGGCTGTGGTCTGATGCTGTTCCAGTTGAAGCTCTTGCAGTTCGTCAGTGGTTAGCTCTTCCCTGTGGTCCTCCACCAACACTTCCACAACCCTGTCACTCAACTCCAACCCCATGGACTTGGCCAATGCCACAACACCTTCCACAACAGGCAGAGGGTCGGCAGGGACAGGGTCTGCCTCAAACCCTTCAAAATCCCTCTGGATCGTGTTCCTCACTTTATTTACCAAAGGGCTTGCACTAGCTTTCCTTGGGTCCATGACGACTTATTTAGCAGTTGCAAGCACAAAGAACAATGGATTATTATGAAATGTATTGTATGAACCCGCGGGGTGATGGTCACGTGTTGATAAACAATGGCACACTGAGCGTGAATGGCGTGGGACACTGGCTTGGTGTGCATGGTAACAGGCAGACGGGTACCGGACGGTCGCTGGAACATGAGTCTAATCACGAAACTCGAGCCCAAATTTTGCCAAAAAAGCTCGCCGAAGGTTGAATTTCATGAAAGTCGAGGCTGCCGAAACTTGAGGGTCCACTGTATATGGCTCATACTGATTCAACACTTTAGTTTACTGTGGCAAGAATATGCTGTATGGCCCATATTGGCTGTTTCCCACCAAAGTAGGGCAGCTGAAAGAAGGAAAAACATTCACTCGTTCATTCAGTGTCTGTCTTGCAAGAAATGCACAGACATCACATTTCAAATGATCCGCAGAACTATGTGAATAAGATGCAGTGTGTAGCTTATGGCATTTATTAAGAAGACGGTCAATCCATAGGGGTGACAAACGCCCTGCCTGCTGGACAAAACGTTTCTGTCAATGCCATAAACTGCATGTCATGTCTTTTTTGCATATTTGTCTGTACAGTGGACCCCCGGTTAACGATATTTTTTCACTCCAGAAGTATGTTCAGGTGCCAGTACTGACCGAATTTGTTCCCATAAGAAATATTGTGAAGTAGATTAGTCCATTTCAGACCCCCAAACATACACGTACAAACGCACTTACAAAAATACACTTACATAATTGGTCGCATTCGGAGGTAATCGTTATGTGGGGGTCCACTGTATATTTAACCATTGGTATTGATCCTTAGAACTGCATCATCCCCAGCCATCCTTCAGAGTGTAGGCACTGTACCTCGCACCTCCAGAGCTCAAGTCTAGTGAATTCTGTGACTACAATGATAAGACTTACATAGAAAAAATAGAGCTAATTATTTACCTTCTTTGTTTAGGAGGATTGGTTCAGACACAAATTACGTGGTCTGTTGTGGTATATTGATGAAATAAGGTGGAGTCTAGCCTTCCACATGTCTGCCCCGAAATCTGGCCTGGATAATACTGACTAGCCTTGGGCAGTGTGTCACATGACATAGTAATGGTCAGAGAGGCCAAGGTGGGTGAACACTAGTGAGAGTACAGGCTGGAGTACATAGTACTGACAGTAGTAGCACTATTGATGTGTTACATCTCTTGCTCATTGTTTTTGTTTTATATGAAAGTATAATTGAAATGTATTTGATTTATTCTACCTGAACTTACTCTCTTAACCCTTAAACTGTCCGAACGTAGATCTATGTTTTTTCAACATTTGAAAGTACAGTGGACCCCCGCATAATGATATTAATCCGTTCCTGAGAGCTCATTGTTATGCGAAATTATCGTTATGCGAATGAATTTTTCCCATAAGAAATAATGGAAATCAAATTAATCCGTGCAAGACACCCAAAAGTATGAAAAAAAAAAATTTACCACATGAAATATACATTTTCCTACACACAAAGAGAAGGATACATGCACAATAGTAGAGTAGTACATGCACAATATATATTGTGCATGTACTACTCTACTAAATGAAGAATAAATGACACTTACCTTTATTGGTGCACTTAGGAGTCTGTGGAGACAAAGAACTTTGTCCTTGGAGGCAAAGAGGGGAATGTATGAGAGTATAGTTTTACCAACGCTCTTATATGGGTGTGAAGCGTGGGTGATGAATGTTGCAGCGAGGAGAAGGCTGGAGGCAGTGGAGATGTCATGTCTGAGGGCAATGTGTGGTGTGAATATAATGCAGAGAATTCGTAGTTTGGAAGTTAGGAGGAGGTGCGGGATTACCAAAACTGTTGTCCAGAGGGCTGAGGAAGGGTTGTTGAGGTGGTTCGGGACATGTAGAGAGAATGGAGCGAAACAGAATGACTTCAAGAGTGTATCAGTCTGTAGTGGAAGGAAGGCGGGTAGGGTCGGCCTAGGAAGGGTTGGAGGGAGGGGGTAAAGGAGGTTTTGTGTGCGAGGGGCTTGGACTTCCAGCAGGCATGCGTGAGCGTGTTTGATAGGAGTGAATGGAGACAAATGGTTTTTAATACTTGACGTGCTGTTGGAGTGTGAGCAAAGTAACATTTATGAAGGGATTCAGGGAAACCGGCAGGCCGGACTTGAGTCCTGGAGATGGGAAGTACAGTGCCTGCACTCTGAAGGAGGGGTGTTAATGTTGCAGTTTAAAAACTGTAGTGTAAAGCACCCTTCTGGCAAGACAGTGATGGAGTGAATGATGGTGAAAGTTTTTCTTTTTCGGGCCACCCTGCCTTGGTGGGAATCGGCCGGTGTGATAATAAAAAATAAAATAACCTTTATTGAAGATGCAGCAGTGACTGATGAGACACTGTGTCCTGGGAGTGCCTTTTCCTCCTGAGTACTGTAGGTCCTGTTTGGCATTTTCTTCCAGAACAGGCCTTATCACACTGTGTATGCCACTACGATTCTTAAATCTCTCAAACCAACCTTTGCTGGCTTTAAATTCACGAATATGAGCACTAGTTCCAGGCATTTTTCCCTGTTCACCTGGGTGTTAGTCGACTGGTGTGGGTTGCATCCTGGGAGACAAGATTAAGGACCCCAATGGAAATAAGTTAGACAGTCTTCGATGACACTGACTTTTTTGGGTTATCCTGGGTGGCTAACCCTCTGGGGTTAATTGTTTCTTGGTATTCTCAATAAGCCACACCAACAACGGTGCTACAGCAGCAGCAGCAGCAGCTGACAGTGCTACAGCAGCAGCAGACGGTGCTACAGCAACAGCAGACGGTGCTACAGCAGCAGCAGACGGTACTACAGCAGCAGCAGCTGACGGTTTTACAGCAGCAGCAGCAGCAGCTGACGGTGCTACAGCAGCAGCAGCAGCTGACAGTGCTACAGCAGCAGCAGCAGCAGCAGCTGACAGTGCTACAGCAGCAGCAGCAGCAGCTGACAGTGCTACAGCAGCAGCTGACAGTGCTACAGCAGCAGCAGACGGTGCTACAGCAGCAGCAGACGGTACTACAGCAGCAGCAGCAGCTGATGGTGGTACAGCAGCAGCAGCAGCTGACAGTGCTACAGCAGCAGCAGCATGAGTAGTTGACCATGATACCACAGTATTTCGATAATATTTCTCACCCTTTTTACCACAGGGTTGGCACTAGAAGCTTTCTTGGGGCCCATGGTCACTTATTTTGCAGATAAAATCACCAAAAACACTGTAATAATACGAAATGTTCCGATTGTATGCTTGGATGTTACCACGGAAGCTGGCTTGTAAACAATGCCACCGGCGGAACATGTGAGGCTGGCTCAGGCCGCACATTAGACGCGTCTTGGATGAATAGCGTTGAGCGGGTTTTTTAGCGGTATGCGAGGCAAAATCTTAGCGATAAAATGTATCGGTATGAGGATTTAACGTTATGTGATGCCAACGGTATGCGGGGGTCCACTGTATGTAAAAAAAGTTAATTTTTTTTTTTTACATTTGAAAACGTGTAAAAAAAACATAGATCTACTTTTGGAGCACTACGCATGTGAACATAGATCTGCTTGGACAGTTTAACCCTTAAACGGTCCAAACAGATCGACATTCAAATTCGTAGTGCTACAAAAGTAGATCTACTTTTTTTTACATATTTTCAAATATAACAAATAAAAAAGTAGATAGAAGTTTTTTTTACACGTTTTCAAATGTAAAACAAAAAAGAAGATCTACATTTTTTTTA